CATGCACAAGGGAACAAACTGCTGTCTGGTCCTGCATCATTTCCATGGTTGAGCATGAAACAGACTGCTGTCATCCACAGGGTTTACATTGGCTATTTTTTGGAAGTAGGTCACCAGGTTTTTCTTCCTAGTCTGCTTTAGTCTGGAAGCTCTACTTAAACCTGTTCAGCAACATGACAACACACAAGCCTCCACTGACTGTGTGTGAGGTACAGTTGTGGCTGTGTGGGGGCCACTTTGGCTGGGAGTTAAACCCAAGTCTTCTGCATGGAAGGCAAGAACCCTACCATAGTACCCCAGTAGAGTGTCTGTTATTGTTGTTGTTACATGTCATCAAGTAGACTCCAACTCATAGCAACCTTACATGCAACAGAATGAAGCACTGCCCAGTCCTGTACCATCCTAACAATACTATGTTTGAGCCCATTGTTGCAGACACTGTGTCAATCTGTCTTGTTGAGGGTCTTCCTCTTTATCACTGACCCTCTACTTTATCAAGCAGGACGCCCTTTTTTTCCAGGGATTCCTCCCTCCTGATAACATGTCCAAAGTAGGTGAGACAAAGTCTCGTCATCCTTGTTTTAAGGAGCATTTTGGCCATGTTTCTTTCCAGATGGATTTGTGTGTTCTTCTGGCAGTTCATGACATATTTTATATTCTTCGTCAACACCATTATTCAAAGGCATCAGTTCTTCTTCTGTCTACCTTATTCATTGTCAAGCTTTTGTATAAATATGAGGCAATTGAAAATACCATGGTTTGAGTCAGGTGCACCTTACTCCTCAAGGTGACATCTTTGCTTTTAATACTAAAGAGGTCTTTTGCAGCAGATTTGTCCAGTGTACTACATCATTTGATTTCTTGACTGCAGCTTCGATAGGTGTTGAGTGTGGATCCAAGTAAAATGAAATCCTTGACAATTTCAGTATTTTCTCCATTTATCATGATGTTGCTTATTAGTCCATTTGTGAGGAGTTTTGTTTGTTTGTTGGTTTTTATATTGAAGTATAATCTATACTGAAGGCTGTAGTTTTTCCTTCAGTGTGTCAAGTCTTCTGTACTTTCAGCAAGCAAGTTTGTGTCACCTGCATATTGCAGGTTGTTAATGAGTCTTCCTCCAATTCTGATGCCCTGTACTTCTTCATGTAGTCCAACTACTTGGATTATTTGTTCAGCATATAGATTGAATAAGTATGGTGAAAAGATACAACCCTGATGCACACTTTTCCTGATTTTAAACCATGGAGTATCACCTCTGTTCAAATGACTACCTCTTAGTTTATGTACAGGTATTCTGAAATTTCCATTCTTTGAAATGTTATCTATGATTTGTTATGATCCATACAACTGAATGCCTTTGCATAGTCAATGAAACACATATCCATGAATGAGGCTAATGAGAACTTGAATTACCTTTCTGCAGTGTAGTAAATTACATAGTGTGTCTTTTCTAGCCATAAGTCTTTGTAAACCTTGTGGTGGGATTTGCTGTGAGCAACTGAGTAGCTCCTGATTGTTAAAGTCATCCACCTGGGGTATTTCTGGTATCTCTGCTTTTATATCATCTGACATCAGTAATGATATCCCTCATTCCACATCTTTTTCTGAATCTGGCTCGAATTTCTGGCAGTTCTCTGTTGATGTACTGCTACAACAACTTTTACATTATCTTCTGCAAAATTTCACTTGCATATGATATTGTTCAATAATTTCCACATTCTATTGGATCACCTTTCTTTGGAACAGGCATATATATGGATCTTTTCCAGTTGGTTGGCCAGGGAGCTGTCTTCCAAATTTCTTAGCATTGATAAGTGAACACTTTCAGCATTGCATCTGTTTTTGTTGAAACATTTCATCAATTCCTGAAGCCTTGCTTGCACCAGGAACTCTGGTGGTGCAGTGGCTAAGGCATTCCATTACTAACCTGAAGTTCTTGTGGTTTGAACTCACCAGCCACTCCACAGGAGAAAGATGAGGCAGTCTGCTTCTGTAAAGATTTACAACCTTGGACACCCAATGGGGCAGTTCTAAAGGGTCACTGTGAGTTGGAATTGACTCAATGGCAGTGGATTTAGTTTTTGTTTTGTGCCAATGACTTCACTGAAGCTTAGATTTCTTCCCCCAGTACCGTCAGTTCTTGATCTTATGCTACCTCCTGAAGTGTTGAACATTGACCAATTCTTTTTGGTATGATGACTGTGTATTCCTCCCATCTTCTTTTGATGCTTCCTGTGTCATTTAAAATTTTGCCCATAGAATCCTCCGACATTGCAGCTGAGACTTCTTCAGTCCTTTCAGCTTGAGAAATGCCAAGCATATTCTTTCTTTTCTTTTGGTTCTCTTTTCTTATCTTTTTTTTGTTGTTGTTGTTGTTGCAGAGAGCTTCCCTGTGCATTGTAGTGTGTTTAGCAGCATCCCTGCCTCTACCCACTCAATGCCAGCACTATCATAATACTTGAAACAATACCTGCCATATGGTAGTGGCTCAGTGTTCATTAGGTGTTGAATGAATGAATGAATAATCAAATGCATGAATAGGGCCAACTCTTGATGCTATCAGTCCAGGCTTTACAAAAATCATTTCACTTAATTGAGCATCAGTTTTCTTATTCAAAAATGAGGCTAATGATGAAAACTTGTATTACCTTTCTGCAGTGTATTAAATTACATAGTGTTCTGGTCACCTAGTGCCGCTCTGACAAGAAATATACCACAAATGGGATGGCCTTAACAAACAGGAGTTTATTCTTACAATTTGGAGGCTTTAAGTCCAATTTCAAAGTGCCAGCCTCTAGGGGCTGGGTGAAAGCCCCTCAACCTTGTGGTCCAGCTCTGCCTCCTGCTCCTGGCCCACTGGAGGTAGAGGCATTTCTTCACTGAGACAGCTGTTGGCTGCTGAGGCTGAGAAGCCTCAAGGTTGACAAGTAAAGGCACAGTCCCAATGTTACCAATCCACACGGCAGGCCATTAAGGCCACTGTAAGTCCCAAGGTCGGCAGAACATAGCAGGCTGCTGAGCAATGACATGGCTACATGCAGGGTCCAAGCATGCCAAAGGCTAGAGACCATTCCCAAAGGCTTCTCCTTATATACAAGAAGCAGATCACATACCCAAAGGCAGCTACCAGCTGCTTGTGGTAGATCCCACCATGGAGCTGATTGCCAGTCCTCCTTATGGGGATTAACTACCACCAGCTGCCCATCCACTCAACCAGGCCCAGCCAACTTGACATACAAACGGAACTACCTACCACACATAGTGTGGCTTTTCTAGCCATAAGTCTTTGTAAACCCTGTGGTGGAATTTGCTGTGAGCAACTGAGTAGCTCCTGATTGTTAAATTTATCCACCTGGGGTATTTCTGTTGGGAGCAGAACAAAGTAATTTTCTGGGAAGTTCATTCTCTCTCAGAATTCTGATGTTGAGATTGGTTAGTGGTCACTCTGCCAGGCTCAAAAGGAGCCCTTCTAGAGGCAGAAGAAGTTTCTCTGACTGCTGGCTGAGAAAGACGTGCTGTTGAGAGAAATGCGCTGCTGAGAGAGAGACACTGAGAGACATACATTGCTGACAGGGAGACACCGAGGGACACGCACTGCTGGGAGAGAGACTAAGAGAGACTGTTGCCTAGAGATGGCAGGCTGAGAGAGACTGAGCATTGTTCCTGAACTTGAATTGTAGCCTGGTGTTTCCCTAATAAACTCCATAATCTGTGAGTTCTGTGTGGCCACTGCAGCAAATTATCAAACCCAGCAGAGAGGTGGTGGGTGCTGCAGGAGGAATGGTTGGTGTCAGGGTTGATGAAAGGCCTGGAGGGAGGTGGCATGTCTGGCTTCAGAGGGATAGGCCTTGGGCTACTGATGGTGATTCGGTTTTCCTCCTGTGTGATTAGAGGAGGTCAGAAGATGCGGCCTCCTTGCCCCTTTTACACTTTCTTACATAGTTATAGAAATCAGAAGAGGTGATTCTCTTTTAGTTTTCTAATGCCAGGTCTTTGCATATTTCATTATAATACTTTGTCTTCTCAAGCTTCCCTTTGAAATCTTCCATTCAGCTCTTTTACTTCATTATTCCTCCCATTCACTTTACTCTACATTCAAAAGCAAGTTTCAGAATCTCTTCTAACATCTATTTTGGTCTTTTCTTCCTTTGGTGTATTTTTAAATGACCTTTTGCTTTATGTATGATGTTCTTAATGTCATCCCACAACTCATCTGGTCTTTGTTCATTAATGTTAAATGCATCAAGTTTATACTTGAAATGGTCTCTAAAATTGGGGAGGATATACTCAACATTGTACTTTGGCTCTTGTGGAGTTGTTCTAATTTTCCTCATCTTCAACTTGAACTTGCATATGAGTAATTGATAGTCTGTTCCTCAGTTGGCCCCCTGGCCTTATTCTGACTGGTGATATTGAGCTTCTCCAACATATCTTTCCATATATGTAGTTGATTTGACTCCTTTGTATTCCTTTGGGTGAGGTCTATGAATATAGTTGCCATTTATGTTGTTGAAAAAAGGTATTTCCAATGAATAGGTCATTGATCTTGCAAGATTCTATCGCACAATCTCCAGAGTCATTTCTATAATCAAGGCCAAATCTTTCAACTACCAATCCTTCTGTTCTTTGTAGAGTACCTAGTGGATTGTTATCTTTGTTATGGTTTGATACACATCTATAGACCAAGCTCTTTCATGTATGTTACCCAATAATTTTGGGGAAAGATGATTAGGTTAGCCTCTTTTTACATATGTGAAAACAGATGCAGAAGTGGATATTTTCTTGCCTGAAGCAACCTGGTTAGGAATGGGTATAGTTGTATTTGAACAGAGATATTTCTACTTCAAGTCAAGCACTCTTTTTGAAAAAATCATGATCACACAGTTAATGAGAACCAAGTTCTTACTGTGTGCCAGCTGGCACCTGGCCTCTGCTATCTATCACAACATTACTGTGAAGCAGGGTCAACAGCTCTACCTCAGAAAGAAGGAAACTGAGATATGAAGAGGGTAAGCCACTTGGCCAGAGGCAGGCAGCTAGTTTAGAGGCAGAGCTGAAGTGAGGTCTCTCTAACTCAAAATACTGGATAGTGGTACCCTGCTGCTGTTGCCCAAGAGACACCCTGACCCTGGCCCATGGTTCACACTGAAAAGTACCTCAAGACCTACATCCATGCAGGAACTCCCTTACCTCACCCCAGTCTCCCTACTGGCCGGGCCCCAGATTCCAGTGCTTACTCCAGATCACAAATGCACAATGCACATCCTTACACATATTTCAGGAAGAAGGCTGCACCAGACGCCTCTTACTTCTGACTGGAGAAGGGCAGAGGAGAAGGGAAGAGGACACAGACCACTTGGGGTTGAATCTTGATGATTCAATTTTGGGCAGTCTAAGCTCTGAGCCTTGCTTGGCTTGCTTGTCTTTAAAATGGGCTGGTAAAAACATCAATCTCAAGGATATAGGAATGACCACATGAGGCCATGGATGTGAAAGTTTTTATGTAAACTCTAAAACGCTTCCCTTACTTGTGAGCTACTATTATTTTATTGGACTCAATTATGGCAATTCACCCTGAAATTGGGAAAGACTTATAGTGGAGCATAGCAGGGGAGGAGACCTGGCAGCCAGTCATGATGTTACAACACCAGGCTAGTGGCAGGTGACAAGGCACCGGCCACCACTGGCAACATGTACAGGGCCTTTCAAGGTCTGGGCTTGCCCTTTATTGAAAGATACTAAGCTGGCCTTTGTTCAGCACCTTTTCTTCTTCCTAAAATGAATTTATACTATCTTTCAGCTCCATTGGTTATGCTCCATGGCTGTTACATCTCTGATGTGCAGGGGAAGGGGGAAAATCTCAGATGTGCAGGGAAAGCTGAGGGAAGATGAAGAAATAATCATTTCCTAAGGAATTTCTGTGTGCCAGGCCCTAAAGAGAGCTTTCCTATTTTACCTATTTAATCCTTAGGATCATTAGTCCCATTTTGTAGATTAAGAAAAAGACCAGGAAAGCTAACTGGTTTACCCTAGTTCACACAACTATTAAGTGAAAGACCCAGGACTAGGATCAAGTTCTGTTTGACTCCAAAGGCAGTGCTGTTAACTGATGCATCTACATTTCAATATATCCTTGCCAATTCTCTTTACCCCTAATCCCAATCCTGTTCCACTTTAAGCTTCTAGGGGCTCATCTGTCCCCATTTTATGAAAATCTTGTGTCTAGCCAGAGTCTCTGGGTGGTGCAAGCAGTTAATGTGCTCGGCTGCTAACTCAAAGATTAAAGGTTCAAGTCCACCCAGAGGTGCCTCAAAGAAAAGCCTGGTGATCGATTTCCAAAAGATCAGCCATCGAGTACCCTATGAAACACAGTTTTACTCTGACACACATGGGATCACCATGAGTCGGAGTTGACTCAACAACAACGGTTTTGTTTTGTCATCTCTAGCCAGTGGGGATGAGAGAGAAACCTTGCTGTGGTTCAGTTGGGTCAGCAGTAGCAGTAGCAGCTGCCCTTCAGGTCCCTAAATGCACACGTGTCCCTGCTTAGCCAGCTGGGACACAGTGCTCTTGTATACTTACCCATATCCATTAATTAACCTCAGTGACTCCCTGGCACAACCTCTCCTGGCCCCTGTCTCTGGCAAGCCAAGTGTGGTAAGGAATCTGAGATTCCTCCTTGAATTCATCCCCGCAAAAAGCGTAGCACATACCCACCCCACCCCAAAATGAGGAAGTGGCCAAACCAATTACCTCTGATTCCCAGGGGAGGGAATAAGAAACAAAAAAACTCTGCTTGGTGGGGATGATGGTGCTTACCTTTATTGAGCCAGATGTTCTAATGAGGAGGACTTTCTGTTAATTGGTTGGCTTGATAGTAATGTAAAAGGCTTTTAACCACACTGATAAATAAAGGATGGAAACAGAGGCTCCTGGAGGTCTGGAGGCATGTCCCCTTCACGCAGGCTTACTGACCACCGCTCCTACCCCTGTCCCCAGGCTTGCTTTCTCCACCATTCATGGTGCTTCCCAGTGAGAACTGCCCTCCTGAGTAGACAATTTCCAGCAGAAACTGTAATGAGGGTCATGCATGGCCCACGGACCACGTTAGTTCCCAGCATCAACCCCCTACCCTGGCTCTGGGGACTCCAGCAGTGGGCTTAGGAGGCAGAGAGTGTGTGAAGGAGGTCAGTGGGGTCTGTGAGGGGCAAGAAGGAGGTGAGAAGATGCCCAATACAGTGACAGGAACTGGGGTCCTGCAGACCAGGGCTGGGCAGCAAGCAGGAATGCTCACCATCCTCCACTACCCCTGACCTACCTATGCATACTCCCCACCTTCCCTGACCTCACTCACCCCCTCTCCCAGATTTAGAGCATCCCAAAGGCCCCAAACTCTCCTGGGAAAGGAACAAGACAGGTCGTCATTGATGGCCTACTGTGGTCAGCTACTCTGATAACTCATGCTTCCTCCTCATGCCTAATTCCAAATTCCTAATTCCAAAGCATAGGAATTAAAAGTATGGACACTGGAGCCCGACTTTCTGGATCCCACCTCTGGTACTTTCTAGCTGTGAGAACTTGACCAAATTATTTACCCTTGCTGCTCTGGCCCTCCCCTCAGAGATAAGGATAGTTTCTACCTCATGTTGTTGTTGTTATGTGCCGTCCAGTCGGACCCAACTCATAGCGACCCATCATTGGGTTTCTGAGGCTGTATCACTACAGAAGTAGATTGCCCCATCTTCCTTCCGAGGAGTGGCCGGTGGGTTTGAATCGGCAGCCTTCAAGTGCCTTAGGCACTATGCTTCCAGAGCGCCCTTCTGCCTCATAGGGTTGTTATAAAGATTAAAGCACTTGTTGTTGTTATGTGCCATCGAGTCGGCCCTGACTCATGCGACCCCTCCTTGGGTTTCTGAAGCAGTATCACTATGGAAGTAGATTGCCCAACCTTCCTTCCAAGGAGTGGCTGGTGGGTTTGAACCACCAGCCTTCTGGTTAGCAATCAAGTGCCTTAGGCACTATGCTACCAGAGCATGTTAAGTCCTCTAAAACTGTAAATTAAAGTGCTAACTCACTCCAAATTAACCTATCACTCAACCTACAGCTGAGTAAGGTTAAAGATCTTGTCCAAGAGTGGTGGAATCACACCCTAGCCTACCTTCTCTTGTGTCTTGCTACTCCAGCTTCTCTGATATGAGTGGGGCACGCAGGGGGTATGAGGGGAGAAGAAGGAGGGAGGGAGGGATACAATACTCTAGTGTTACTGAAAACAGTGGGATACAAACAAGGTGAGATATCCCCCCTCCCTTTTGTTTTTTTGTATTATTTCTCCCATATTATCCATCGCTTTTTTCATAGTGTCACATCCAAGTACTAACCAGGTCTGGACTGCTTAGCTTCTGAGATCAGAGGAGGTTAGACACATTCACAGCAGTATAGCTTTAGAGTGTTTCTTTTTCGTAGTGAAAATGATCATGTAATTTTCAAACATGTGTATATTCCTTTTTTAAAAAAACAGCTTTACAGAGATAGAATTCGTATACTGTATAATTCATCCACTTAAAATGTGTAATTCAATGGATATATTCAGAGTTATGTGCCCAAGGTGAAGGCTTTTCTTAAACAGTGCTTTTCACTTGTTTGACAATAGCTCATAGTAAGAACAATAGTTTTAATCTATAATCTAACACACATAAATGGAAATAGAGGGGACATTGTGTGAAAGTGAAGAGGACTGAAGGGGTGGTTGCTTCCCCTACAGGGGACCTCATTTCCTTGAAGTGAGGATCACAGAGAGGGTGCAGCCCACAGCCCTTGTTTGACCCTCCATAGAGCAGTGTGAGAAGATCTGGTGGTGCAGTGGTTGAAGCATTTGGCTGCTAACCAAAAGGTTGGTGGATTGAACCCAACAGCCACTCCATAGGGGAAAGATGAAGCAATGTGCTTCTGTAAAGATTTACAGCCTTGGAAAACCGATGGGAGCAGTTCTATTCTGTCCTACAAGGTGGCTATGAATCGGAATCTACTCAATGACAGTGGGCTTGTTTTTTGGGGTCAGAGAAGTGTAGTTGAAGCAGGTCCCTCCCAGCCTCAGGCAGGTGGGCCTCTGCCCTCAGAGCCTATTGTCCCTTCTATGGATCCTTGTGGATGGGAGAGACTTTAGGGCAGCTGGGGAGTGGCAAGCTCTCTGGACTTTCATCCTATCCTTGGACATGCTCTTTTTCTCAGATGCCTTCTTGTTCAGGAGACTTTGCTCAACCCTTAGCCATTTGCCCCAAAGCATTTGTCTAAGAGATCAGCAGGGCTGAGAGCTGGGCTGGTTTGGCAGGAAAACCACCTGAGAGATGTCCTTCACTCTGCTTTCAGAATGTCTCCCCAGCAAGGACATCTTCAGCCCAGGGGTCCCCGGCCCGGGCTTCTCCAACTGGGGTGTCCCCAGCCCGAGTATCACCGTCCAGGTCATCTTCTGGCAGGTCATCATCTACCAGGTCAGCCTCCACAACAGTGTCTCCAACCAGAGTGTATCTTGTTAGAGCAACACCAGTGGGGGCAGTACCTGTCCGAGCATCTCCTGCCAGGGCACCACCGGCTACCAGGACCACTGTGGAGAGCTCAGGTAAGGGGGTTACTACAGGAAGGGCAAGAGGAACAGGGAACAGTCCAGGGACAAGAAGGAAATCTTAGGGTTGGCATGTTCTGCTCCTCATACCATTTGGATAATGATGTGTGGGGGTCTAGGGATGGGCAGTGAGGGACCTGGGAGATGGAAGCAGGAAGGAAGGAACCACTGCAAGAAAACCCAAGGTGTAAAATGTTGGAGGCAGAGAGATTTCAGGCCAAGAAATAAGGACCAGCAAAGCTGTACTCCCAGGTGTGATTTCAAGGGCAAGGGCTCCTGGTTAGAGACCTGGGTCTTCTCCTTGGGCTTCCTTGTGAGCCTGTCAGGGAAGCTGGAGGAAGGTCATGATCAGTAAATCTGCCTTTGGGTGGAAGAGGAATAGAGATCCTGACCAGTTCTGTATGGTTCAGCAATTAGGAAGTCAAGAAGCCCAATGGTTCTCAGATCCTGATTCTGCCCTTAATGAAGCAATATTTCTGCCCATCCTAACTCTGCCCTCTTCCCAGCCCAGCCATCAGAAAAGTCTCCTATCACCACAATCAAAGAATCTTAGGGCCTGGATATTATCTGGCTTTGAAGGAGATAGTCTCGTGTTTGGGTTCCCTGTCCAGTCAGTCCTGTGATCATTTTTACTCTCTCATGATGGGCTTTAGGATCAGACACACCTGCATTTGAGTCTCTTGTGTACCACTCACCAGCTTAGTAACTTCACACAAATTGTTTTTAACTTTCATAAATCTCTGTTTCTGCATCTATGAAATGGGCATCATAATATCCAACTCACAAGGTTGCTAGAGCATCTAAGAGCACATGCAGAGGCCTGTCTGGCCCATAATAGCATCTCAATAAAAGAGAGCTGTTGATAGCAGAAGGTCCCTGGGTGGCACAAACAGTTTGTGCTCACCTACTAACCTAAAGGTTGATTGTTCAAACCCATACAGCAGTACTACAGAAGAAAAGACCTGATAATTTGCTTCTGTTAAGATTACAGCCAAGAAAACCCTATGGAGCAGTTCTACTCTGTAACACATGGGATCACCATGAGTTGTCATCAACTTGACAGCAAAGTCTTTGGGTATTTTTGGTTGACAGCATCCGAGTGATGATGCCATATTCTGGGGGTTGAAAGGCCCTAACGGGCGACTCATGGGTCAGCCTCGTTTCTTTCTTCTATCTCCTACGCACTGAGCCCCACCTCACCAGCCTCACCCCCCACCCTGCATTTATTCCACTTCTTCTAGGTCTCAGCTTGCCCAAGTTCACCTGGCAGGAGGGCCAGAAGCGTCTGCCACTCATCGGGTGCATCCTCCTCCTCATCGCCCTCATGGTGTCACTCATCCTGCTCTGTGAGTGTGGTGGAGGGGGCATGGCGGGTTCTGGGTACTGCCTGGCCAGAGTGAAGGGGCATGCAGCAGGGAGGTGGCTACCATGCCCACAGAGAGATGCTCCTGCAAATGCTCTTGGACCAGGCACCTCTAGGTATCTTCAAGGTCACAGAGTTAAGAGTGTGAGAAGTAAGAAACCTAGGTTTCACTTCCATCCACATTACTTATTGTGCAACTCACTTGGGGGAAGTTATTTAACCATACTGAGCTCAGTTTCTCCGCCTATAATGGGAGTGAATTAATTAATTAATTCAATTTTCTATGTGTCTGATAAAATCTCACACTAACTTCCCTGGGTTATGAAGAATAAATTAAATAATGTGCATGCCTGGTACAAAACCCCACTCTAAAAAGGCTAGTTATTTTTTAAAACACATATGCAGTAGAAATATTGACTGGGAAAAAAAATCTCAAGAATATTCAGTCCATGGGAAAAGTGTTCAGGGGTTCAGATTCCCTCAATGTCCCTCCCTACTTTTGAAAAGATTCCTGGGATGTATCACAGAGCTCTCTGACTTAGATTCTACAATGAATCTAGCACAGTGGGAACTCTTAGGAGAGAAGAGAAAGGCAACATATATCATACAGCCCCCATCTTTGGGGAGATTACATTTTCCGGGGGGACAGACCTGAAATAACCAAGGCCATAGGTATATGAGTGTGACATCAGAAAGAGGTGAAAGCAGAATGGGCCAAGGTCACAGGGGACATCTTGTGACAGCTGTGCAGCCAGATGAGGCCTGAGATGGAAGAAGAGCAGTTACAAGCTGTTCTGGGCTTCTGAGTAGGGTATGCAGGTAGACAAGGTGGGCTGGAGGGAGAGGGAAGGGACCTGATTAACCAGAGAGGAGGATATGCATTTGGGAGCACGGGGTTCTTCCTTTGGTTGAGTAAGGCTGGACCACTTTGTAGACCTCTTTATGTGCAAGGCTGAGGGACTAGGAGTTTACTAAGGAGGCAACATGGTGTGGTGAAGAGCAAGCTAGACGAGCATATTGGAACATGTGACTTGCAGGGCTGTTGGAGGAACAGAATTGTGCAGGAGGAGGTGGTCTGCTGGTGAAGAATATGTCTTTAGTACCAGACAGATCTGCCACAGCACCCTGGCTCTGCCACTTCCCAGCTATATAACTTGGGCAAGCCTCAGTTTCTCCACCTACCTCACAAGGTTGTTGTGGAGTCATTGCCATGTGGTATTCATAGGGAATCTCTTGTCTAGAGTTGATGCCCTGTTCATGCTTCCTTCTCCTCCACAGTGCCCCATACTCTGGGGAACCCTTGGGCAGTGCACGAAGCAGACAGAGGATGAGATTGGCCCTGGGCAGGAAGAGGGGCATCTTTGTTAGTGTGATAGGAAAGAAGGTGGAAAGAATAAGTGCAGGATAGGTCTGTCTCCAGCTTAGTTTAGGGTTGTTGTTGTTGTTGTTATGTGCCGTCGAGTCAAACCCGACTCATAGCGACCCCTCCTTGGGTTTCCGAGGCAGTATCACTACGGAAGTAGGATTGCCCAACCTTCCTTCCGAGGAGTGGCTGGTGGGTTTGAACCGCCAGCCGTCTGGTTAGCAGGCAAGTGTCTTAGCCATTATGCTACCAGAGCTCCTTAGTTTAGGGTAGACTGCCATATTTTCAGTCACTGTTGTTAGCTGCCTTCAAGTTGACCCCAAATTCATGGCAACCCCAGGCACAATGACCTGTGGATCAGACCATTGTGATCCATCGGGTTTTCATCGGCTGATTTTGGAAGCAGATCACCAGACCTTTCTTCCTAGTCCATCTTAGTCAGAAAGTTCTGCATCGTAGCAACACCCAAGCCTCCCATGACAGACGGGTGATGGATGCACTTACCAGGAATCAAACCTGGATTTCCTGCACGGAAGGCAAGAAATCTACCGCCTAACCATATGAAATAAGGAGCTCTGGTAACACAGTGCCTAAGGCATCTGACTGCTAACCAGAAAGTTGATGGTTCAAACCCACCAGCCACTCCACAGAAGCAAGACTGAGCAATCTACCTCCTGCAAGATTTACTGCCTCGGAAACCCAATGGGGGTCTCTATGAGTTGGAATTCACTTGATGGTAGTGGATTTGGATTTTGGTTGTTGTTGTTTGTTTGTTTGTTTTTGTTTGGTTTTTAACCATATGAAATGAGAGCAGCATGAAATAACGTATAGAGAGGGCTACACAAATTGCACAAATTCAGAGCTTTCAGTATGGTTTCCCAAAGTCCCTGGCAGTCCCATCAGGCAGGACTTTTCCCCCTCCAAGACTAGGGAGGTGATTTGATTGCAGTGAAGTCAAGACTGGAGCCTGGGCCCTCTACTTCTGGTCCAGTGCTCTCCCTGGACATGCAGGTTCATAGCCATTCTGCTGAGAGTTCCCCTGGAGGCTCAGTGGGTGTAGGAAGGGAGAAAGACCAGGGAGAGGAGGGGAAAATCCAAGCAATAAGGAAAAATTCGTATCTGGGTTTAGAAGTCTTGGGATACCCTCATTGACACCCTGAATATGCTTGAGAGATTTTTTTCCAATCAGTATTTCTCATGGTTTTTGTTTCATAACTAACATTTTATAGTGGGATTTTTGTGCCAGGCATTGTATCATTATCTCATTTATTCCTTATAACCCAGTGACGTCATTAAGAGATCTGGGAGAAAGCTATTGTTGTTAGATGCCATTGAGTGAGTTCTGATTCATATCAACCGTACATACAACAGAATGGAGCACTGCCTGGTCCTGTGCCATCCTCATGATCATTGCTGTGTCTGAGCCCATTGTTGCAGCCACTGTATCAGTCCATCTCGTTATGGATCTTCCTCTTTTTTGTTGACCCTCTAGTTTACCAGGGGGCTCTGGTGGTGTAGTGTCTAAGGCATTTGGCTGCTAACCAGAAGGCTGGCAGTTCAAACCCACCAGCCACTCCTTGGAAGGAAGGTTGGGAAATCTACTTCCATAGTGATGTTGTTGTTGTTGTTGTTATGAGCCATCAAGTAGGACCCAACTCATAGCGACCCCTCCTTGGGTTTCTGAGGCAGTATCACTACAGAAGTAGATTGCCCCATCTTCCTTCTGAGGAGTGGCTGGTGGATTTGAACCACCAGCCTTCTGGTTAGCAGTCAAGTACCTTAGGCACTACACTACCATCACCTTGGAAACCCAAGGAGGGGTCGCTATGAGTCAGATCCAACTTAATGGCAGTGAGTTTGGTTTGGTTTTCCAGTTTACCAAGTGTACTATCTTTCTCCAGGGACTGATCCCTCCTGATAACATGTCCAAAGTACATGAGATGAAGTCTCACCATCCTTGCTTTTAAGGACCATTCTGGCTGCACTTCTTCTAACACAGATTTGTTCATTCATCTGGCAGTCCATATTCAATACTTATCGTCAACATTCAAATGTATCAATTTTTCTTTGATCTGTGTCTTAGTTATTTAGTACTGATATAAAAGAATATCAGAAGTGAATAGCTTTAACAAACAGAAATTTATTCTCTCACGGTTTAAGAGGATAAAAGTTCAAATTCATGTTGCCAGCTGTAGGGGAAGGCTTTCTCTCTCTGTCAGCTCTGGAGGAAGGTCCTTGTCTCTTTTCAATATCTGTAGGCCTGACATCCCTTGGAGATCTCCATGTGACTTGGCATCAGTCTTCCCTTGGATCTAGGAGGTTCTCAGCACAAGGACCCTGGGTCCAAAGTATGCACTCTTCTCCCAGCTCTTCTTTCTTGGTGGTAGGAAGTCCCTCCTTCTCCTCTTGATTCTCTCTCCTTTAATCTCTTGTAAGATAAAAGCTGATGCAGACCACACTCCAGGGAAACTCCCCTTGCCTAGGATCAGGGCTGTGACCCGAGTAAGGGTATTGCATTCTACCCTAAATCCCTTACAACTGATTGACTGATCACATCATGGGGGATAATTACATCATTACATAATTGCCAAACACTGAGAACCATGGCTTAGCCAAGTTGACATATAATTTAGGGGACACAATTCAATTCATAACAGAGTTCCTTATTCATTTTCTAGATTTTGTATGAATATGAGGCAATTGAAAATACCACAGCTTGAGGTAGGCACATTATGGTCTTCAAGGTGACATCTTTGCTTTTAACACTTTAAAAAAGCTCTTTTGCAACAGATTTGCACAATGCAATGCTGTTGCTTCCATGAGCATTGATTTTGAAGCCAAGTAATAACTTCAACGTTTTCTCCTTTTATCATTATGTGCTAATAGGTCCAGCTGTGAGAATTTTTGTTGTCTTTATTTTGAGGTATAATCCATACTGAGGTCTGCAGTCTGATAATCATCAGTAAGTGCTTCAAGTTTTCTTTGCTTTCCACAAGCAAGGTTGTGTCATCTGCACATCACATGTTTTTAATGACTCTTCCTCCAATCCTGATGCCGTATTCTTCTTCATATAGTCCATCAAACCAAAACTTAACCCACTGCCACTGAGTCAGTTCCGACTCATAGCAACCCCTCCTTGGGTTTCCAAGGCAGTATTTCTACAGAAGTAGATTGCCCAGTCTTCCATCTGAGGAGTGGCTGGTGGGTTTGAACCACCAACCTTTTGGTTAGCAGTCAAATGCCTTAGGCACTATGCCACATATTGTCCAGCTTCTCTAATTATTCGCTCAGCATACAAATTGAATAAATATGGTGACAGGATACAACTCTGACACCCACTATCATACTTTTAAACCATGGAGTATCCCCTTGTTCTGTTTGAACAACTGCCTCTTGGTCTATGTAAAAGTTCTCCATGAACATAAGTAAGTGTTCTGAAATTCTTGTTCTTTGCAATGTTATCCAAAATTTGTTATGGTCCATATGGTTGAATGTCTTTGAATAGTCAATAAAACACAGGTAAACATCTTTCTGGTACTCTCTGCTATCAGCCAACATCCATCTGATGTCAGCAATGGTATCATTCATTCTCTGTCCTCTTCTGAATGCAGCTTGACTTTCTGGCAGTTCCCTGTTGATATACGGCTGCAACAAGTTTTTAATAATCTTCAGCAAAATTTTACTTGCTTGTGATATTAATGATATTGTTTGATAATTTCTGCATTCAGTTGTATAACCTTTCTTTGGAATGGGCACAAATATGGACCTCTTCCAGTTGGTTGGAAAGGTAGCTGCTTTCTGAATTTCTTTCTTTCGTTAATTATTTTTTCCTAAAAATAAATAAATAAAATAAAACTTTTTATTGTGATTTGCATGAAAGTTTACAAAGCAAATTAGTTTTCCATTCAACAATTCATGCACAGTTTGTTTCAGGACATTCATTGCAGTTGTCATAATGCAACAATACTCTTCCCACTTCTGTCTGTGTTCATCATTTCCATTTGTACTTCTTTCCTATCCCTTCCTGCTTTCTGAGCTTTTTCCCTGGGCAAATACTGCCCTTTCTGAGCCACAGGGGTGAGTTCAATTCCAGGCTTGAAGTGTGACTCAGAGCCATAGTCTTGAGACCTTCCAAATTTCTTGGTGTAGGAGAATGAGTGCTTTCAGTGTTACATCCACTTCTTGAAATACCTAAATCGATGTTCTGTCAGTTCATAGAGCCTTGTTTTTTGCTAATGCCTTCTTGCAGCTGGGACATCTTCTAATACTATCTGTTCTTGATCATATGCTACCCCCTGAAATGGCTGAACATTGACCAATTCTTTTTGATACATCTTCCCTTGATGCTTCCTGCATTGCTTAATATTTTGCCCATAGAATCCTCCAATATTGCAATTTAAGGCTTGATTTTTTTTTCTTCAGTTTTTTCAGCTTGAGAAATGCCAAGTGTGTTCTTCTCTTTTGGTTTTCTAACTCTAGGTCTTTGTACATTTTATTAGAATACTTCACTTTGTCTTTCAAGCTGCCTTTGCAATCTTCTGTTCAGTTCTTTTATTTCATCATTAAAGTTCTAAGTGACCTTTAGCTACTCTACATTCAAAAACAAGTTCCAGAGTCTCTTCTGATATCCCTCTTGGTCTTTTCTTTGTTTCCTGTCTTTTTAGTGACCTTTTGTTTTCTTCATTTATGATGTCCTTGACATCATCCCACAATTCATCTGGTCTTTGGTCATTCGTGTTCAATGTGTCAAATCTATTCTTGAGCTTGTCCCTAAAGTCAGGTGAGATATACTCAAGTTTGCACTTTGGTTTTTATGGACTTCTTTTAATTATCTCCAGGTTTTACTTGAACTTGCATATGAGCAATTAATGATTTTGATGATTTGTTCCGTAATCAGCCCTTGACCTTGTCCTATTGATATTGAGCTCCTCAAGCATCTCTTTCCACAGATGTAGTCAATTTAATCTCTGTGTATATATTCCACCTGGTGAGAACCATATTATAGTTGCCATTTATGTTGTTGAAAAAAAGATATTTTCAATGGATAAATCACCAGTCTTGCAAAATTCTCTCACATGATTCCTGGCATCGTTTCTTTCACCAAGGCCATATTTTCCAACTGCTGATCCTAGTTTGTTTCCAATTTTCCCATTCCAATCACCAACAATTATTAATGCATCTTGATTATATGTTTGGTCAATTTCAAAACTCTAGACGTTAGTGCATAAATTTGAATAATAGTCCCATTAACTGATTGTTCTGGTTACCTAGTGCCACTCTGACAGGAATATACCACAAATGGGATGGCCTTAACAAACAGGAGTTTATTCTCTTACAATTCAGGAGGCTAGAAGTCTGAGTTCAAAGTGCCAAGGCCTAAGGGCTGGGTGAAAGCCCCTTGACTTTGGGCTTTAGCTCTGCTTCTTGCTCCCAGCCCGCTGAAGCTAGAGGCATCTCTTCACTCAGGCAGCTACTGGTTCCTGAGGCTAACAAGCCTAAGGTCCATAATAAAATGGCACAGTCCCAATGTTACCAAACCACATGGCAGGCCATTAATTCAAGTCCATTGTAAGTCCCAAGGTCAGCAGAGCATGGCAGGCTGCTGAACAATGACACAGCTATATGCAGGGTTCAAGCGTGCCATAAGCTAGAGAGACCTTTCCCCAGGGCTTCTGCTTATATACAGGAAGTAGACCACATTCCCTAAGGTAGCTACTCAGCTGCTCACAGTAGATTCTACCATGGAGTTTATTACCAGTCTCATCATGGGAAATACTACATCCAGCTGCCCAGCCACTCAACCAGGCCCAGCCAACTTGACACACAAACTGAACTACCACACTGGTCTTCCTTTTAGTTGTATCAATATTATCCTACCACTGATAGTGTTGTACTTCAGGATAGATCTTGAAATGTTCTTTTTGGCAGTGCAACACTCTTCCTCTTCAATTTGTCATTCCTAGCATAGAAGACCATATGATTATCTGATTCAAAGTGGCCAATACCTGTCCATCTCAGCTCACAAATATCTAAGTTACCTGTCTTTAAGTGTTCCATCTCATTTTTGAGGACCACCAATTTTCTTATATTCATACATTCTACATTCCAATAATTAATGGATGCTTGCAGCTGTTTCTTCTCATTTTAAGTCGTGCCACATCAGCAAATGAAGTCTCAAAAAATTTACTTCATCTACATTATTAAGGTTGACTCACTTTAAGGAGGCATCTCTTCCCCAGTTGTATTTTGAGTTCTCGGGGCTCATCATCTGGCACTATATCAGACAATGTTCTGTTTCTATTCATAAGGTGTTCACTGGCCAGTTTTTTTTAGAAGTAGATAACCAGGTCCTTCTGCCTCATCTGTCTTAGTCTGGAAGCTCCACTGAAACCTGTCCACCATGAGTGACCCTGCTGGTACTTAGCATAGCTTGCAGCATCACAGCAACACACGAGCCACCATAGTATGACAAACTGACAGATGATTGGTGGAAGGGAGATCTAGTAGGATTTCAAACTTTCACCTTGGGTGGCTGAGATCATGATGAGCCCAGCAAAAGAAGTGAGAGGGGTCAAGGCTGAAGAGTCAGTTAAGGATGAGAAGCATGGTGAAGAGTTAGAACCAGGGTTGGTTAGGCAGAGGTCATGCTTGCCGATACAAACGAATGTTTTGCCAGGCAATGGGGTGACAGAGACCTTAGTTTGGAAAGTGATGTTAGAAGAAAAAATATGAAGCTGATTTGCAGTGTGGTTTATAAAGTTGTTTTCTTTTAGACACAACTTGAGATTGAACCACCTAGAGTTGATCATCAAATGGGAAGATATTTAAAGACAAGTAATGGAACAAGTACTGAGAATAGGTGGCATCTCTTGCTTATGGGAGTGGGAAGAAGAAGAAAATCTAGGCACTTTGAAGCTAAAGGATGGCAGTCATCAAGATGACAGGACAAATGGTGGCTGCATTTGTGTGACTGTGAAGATAGAGCTGAGACCCTATGGAGCACAGACAAGAGGGATACCAGAGGGGTTCTGTGAAGGGGACTCTGGGATACCAGAGGAGTGGTTTCTCTGGCTGCCACCCAAGTCACCATATAGGGCAAGGGAGCTCCCAAAATAGTACCCACCTCCAGATACGTCTCTCTCTCTCTTTCTCTCTGGGTGGCTGGCTGCTCCAGTATGCCTGGTGCTGCCCTGCTTGCAGGAGCTTTCTGGAGCATTCCTGAGCCTCCTTTCTCTCCATACAGATGGGGGAAGAGAGTCCCAGAGTCTAAGAGGAATTGCAGGTCGGTGTTTCAGAACCCACAGGGTCTTGGGATGCTTAATGTCTTGTCTCTTTGGGACTGGCAGTGACCCCAGCTGTCTGCTTTTTTTTTTTTTTCCCCCAGTCTACTTCTGGCAAGGCACCAAAGGGATCAAGTACAAGGAGCCAATTGAGAGCTGCCCCAAACATGCTGTTCGCTGTAATGGGGTGGTGGACTGCAAGTTCAAGAGTGATGAGCTGGGCTGTGGTAAGGATGCTGAGCATGGTCTGCAAGTCTATGTTCATGCATGTTTGTACACTTGTGAGTATCTGTATGTGCATATCCATGTGCACATGTGTGTATGCACTCTGATGACTGCACAATGTGGTGAAAACTGTACATCAGCTCAAATTGAAGGCACTGGACAGGAGTTCAAAGGACTAGGTCCTAGTCATAGCAGACTTGGGTTTGAAAACTGGCTTTGAGTGCTGTGTGACTTGGACAAGTAAGTTAGCTTCTCTGGACTTCACTTTCCTCATTTGTCAAGTAAGTGGATTGGACAAGATAAGTGGTCTCAAATAAAATCTGACAACTCCCCAATATCAGACTGACCAAAGCAGAGCAGCTCTGGCCAGAAGATGGTGTGGTATGTGGAGCCCCATCCATGTGCCTTTCCCTGTTACCTACTAGGTGGTTCTGATTTCTCTCCCTTACGATTTCACAGAGGTCAGTCTGTAAACTGCCAACCTAGATGGTTACCTCAGTGATCCCCAGACACCTCCTTGAACTCTGTTCATCAGTGGTTTTAATGAGTGCTTATCTGTGTAGCCCTGATGTGGTGTGCAAGTCCACATGTGCACATTGTTTGTGCCAAATCCACTTACATGAGCTCTGTGTGTTCATATGTGTACAGCCCATTACCACATCCTTCTGTGTCTGAGCCTATGAGTACACAGTCAGACTGCAAGCCCTTCTTCTCCCTAGCCACTCTCTCATTTGGCCATGTCACCTGCCCTCTTGAGGTGCTAGCTCCTGGCAGTACTCCCCCTCCTTCCAGCAATGACTCCCAGGTCCCGTCAGATGATACATTCTCCACCCCACCCCAGCCCCTTGCCTAGGCTCTTCCCTTCCTGAGGGTCCTGGGCTTCTGAGCACTGGCTGACCATTACTGTCCAGTGCCTGCCTCAGGATAGGAACTTCTTGGGGCCTTGCTCAATTCATTCCCCAGGAGCATGAAGCTTCCTGAGTGCTGAGGACCTGCTCTGCCCTTCTCTTACCCTGCAGTGAGATTTGACTGGGACAAGTCTCTGCTTAAAGTCTACTCTGGAACCTCCCATAAATGGCTTCCTGTCTGCAGTGACAGCTGGAATAACTCCTACTCGGAGAAGACCTGCCAACAGCTGGGCTTTGAGAGGTAAACCTATCCCTAGAGTCCCAGCTTCACACACGTCTCAGGCTCTTTGCATGGACTTCCTATTAAAAGACCCCTTCAGGATCAGGTCACTAGTTCATGATTCCCTTGAGTTATTCAAAGTGATGATAGCCCTGTGAGCTTACTAGTCTGGGGTAAGCTGTTTCCATGAGGCCAGTGTAGTTATTTGTAGAGGAACTGTCATAACATCAGGCTCCTATAGAGTTCTTTGCATTAAAGCACCCTCATGTCCATGATCACATTTAATGGCCTCTGGCCCTGTGAGGTGAGCAGGCAAATGAGCATGTCTTCATCATACATTTGGGCAATAGAAGCTCAGGTAGTACAAAGATCTTCAGTGGGCTTTGAACTGTAGCAGTTCTGGCTTGAGCTAGAATTGCTCAAACAGGCAAGTGTGGCCAGGAAAAGTCATAAGAAGTTTTGTCTCTATAGATTTTAAACAAAGAAACAGAGCTGGTGGGTAGGGTGTGGGTGAGGTAGCATGAACAATGACCTGCTCATTAAAGGAGCCTCTGTTTTGCAGGCTAGATATCCATCTCCATCCTCTCTTTTTGTCTGTACAGTTTGGGGTTCACTAAGGTGTGTGTGGTTCTAGGCAGATGGGGTTAGGATATCACACTGAGTTCTCTGTAGAAGAAGCACCTAGAACATTGAGAGTTGAGAACTAGGCCTTAGAACCAATTCTCCTCAACCCCAGAGTTTCAGTCTGTAAAAGAAAGATCAAGAGTATTTGCTGAGAAGAACACAGGCATCTGGGGTCCTGTCCTACATCTTTTATCAATGAGATCTGTGAACTTATGTAAGTCTGAACCACTCTTGGACTTCAGTAGATGGTGTTATTTATTCAAAGAATATTCATTAAGCATTTATTATATGCAAGGAACTATGTGGGTCCCAGACACAAAAGCATGAAACAGGATCCCTGCCCTTGAAGGACTTTTAGCACAGTACAGGTGAGAGATGCTTGAACCAATGTGACATGTAAGAAAAGGATGTATGCAAAGGGTTTCTAACTACATTTGGGGGAGAGGGCAGAGCCTGGAAGAAAGGGGACTCTGGGTAAAGGAACAATATGTACAGAAGCATGGTGTCATGCAAGGGGGTACCATGTTCTTGAAGTGGATATAAGTTCCATGCAAATAACGGTCCACAGATCTTCCACATCAGAATCATCCAGGCAGCTTATTCAAATGCTGACCTACGGAATCAAAGTCCTTGGGATTAGGACTGAGGACCTGTTTAGCAAACACCTCTAAGTGATTTTTATGCACACTGAGATATGAAACCCAGTAGGCTAGTCGAAATGTTCTCAAACTTTAATAGACAAACCAATAACTTGGGTGGGATTTTAAAGAATCTTTAAAATGCAGATTTTTCCTCAGTAGACATGGGATGATGCTGATGCTGCTCCTCCATAGACCACAGCTTGAATAGAAAATGGCTAGATGAGGGTTTCTCACACTTGAGTGTGCATCAGAAACAAGTGGAGAGCCTAGTAAAGCAGATTTCTGGGCCCCACCCTGAGTCTCTGATTCAGGAGGTCTGGGGTGGGGTCTGAGAATTTGCTTTTCTAACAACTTCCGGGTGATGCTGAAGCTGCTGGTCAGGGACCACACTTTGAGAACTACTGGGCTGGTGCATAGGGCTAGTGGGGGCAGTGTGGGGCATGTGGGTGGGCCTTGACTTTTGCATGAAGGAGTAGTCATCATTCAGACCATTACAGCCTGGTTCCATCAGCAGGGTAGTGGAGATTCTAATCAGGGGCTGGTGGTGGACTCTATCTCAAGGCAGCTCATTCTTCTTCCCCTCTCTTCCCATGCAGTGCTTACCGGACAACTGAGGTGGCCCATGGGGACTTTGCCAGCAGTTTTTTAGTCTCTGAATACAATTCCACCATCCAGGAAAGCCTCCACAGGTATGGTAGGGGTAGGCCAGGGTGACTGTTATGAGAGTTTCCTTTGTGAGCAGGGACATGAGGGGAGTACAGAGGGGGTGGGCTTTGAGTCTGGAAGCCCCCTCTCCCTTGGTCTTTCTGGGACTCAGTCTCCAGGAGTCCATAATGAATGTTCAGGGACACCTCAGAAATAGTTCTCATCACCCCACAACCTCCTGATATGAAAGTTCTTAATTGAGGCTTGGTGCAGAGAAGGCCTTGGAATCAGAGGTATCCACGAGTTTACCTTGTTGGCAGGGACAACAAATAAACCTTGGGGTCACAAGTGAGCCAGGTACTTAGACTGAAAGCAGCTGCATGGAGTGGACTAGGGTGGGGAGAGAGAGCATCATTGGTGTTGGGAATGGGGTAGGGATGCAGCAGCAGAGGGAGGAACAAAGACAGGAGGCCCACCAGGGCACATCATTCTCCTCCTGGGCCTCATCAGCTTTCATGGTCTTTGGCATGCAGCCCCACCAAGGGGGAAGGCAGAGGGACACTCCCTCAGCTAGCATTGTTTACCCTTGGGAGGGGAGAGAAGAAATAGATTCCAAGAGAAAGAATGCTGAGAGCAGGAAGTGAACTAGCTGCATCCTGGGTGCCTGCTTTGTGCTAGGTGGGTTTGTGTGCTACATTGCTGGCAGAGCAGTGAGGAGCTAGGTCAGCAGGACAGTGGGCTACCTGTTTAGTTGTAGAAAGATGCTGGGCTAATCAAGTCATAGGTTCAAAGGACATGAATCTGGCCACTGGGAGAGAGTGGGAAGGATTTGCACTGAGTCATTGCCAATGCTGGAGAAAGCACTTGCAGGGCCTATTCCACTGGGAAGGAGAAGAGCCGAATCTCCATCTTCTTGTGTAAAGGGTAGCTTCCTTGGAAATGGGGTAGGAACTGAGCAGGAACTAATCAGGAAAGGCTTCCTGGAGGAGATAGCTTATATGTCTCTTTTCCCACTTTTTGTGTCTCCTTTACAGATCTGAATGCCCATCCCAGCACTATGTCTCTCTCCAGTGTTCCCGTAAGAAGATGCTCTTCTTCTTGGACTGTGGCCTGAGTGGGGTGGGAGTCAGAAGAAGAGTTGGGGCCTTCTGGGGGAAAGGGATGTCCCTGGAGGTCCAAACCAGAAAGAGAAGCTTAGCCAGTAGGCTTGATTCAGGGCCAGAACCTCAGGAAGGCACTGGGACAGTTCCTGGGCAGCAGTGCCCGTCCTCTACTGGCTGTGGTAGGAACTCAACCCAGCAACCTCTTTCATTCCAAGGAGCCACTGCGTCTGCTCAACTATGAACAAGGGGCAGAGGACTAGGACAATAGGTTCTGAGCCAGCTTGAAGCTCCTGTATCAATAGACATGGAACTACTAGATCAAGATCTAGAGCCAACATTTACTTAGCACAGTGTACATGCAAGGCACTGTGCCCATCTCTTTACAAACATGATGGCATTTAATTTCTATAATAAGCCTATGAGACAGGTATCTTTCCATAACCAAAAAACTGAGCCCATAGCTGTCAAGTCAATTCTGACTTATAAGAACCCTATAGGATAGAGTAGAACTGTCCCATAGGGTTTCCAATGCTGTAATCTTTACAGCAGCAGACAGCCACATCTTTCTCCCATGGGGCAACTGGTGGGTTCAAACCACCAATGTTTTGGTTAGCAGCTGAGCACTTAACCATTGTGCTACCAGGGCTCCTTCCAGTTGCCATTACTGCTCACTTATAGATATGGAGACTGATTAACTTGCTTAAGATGAGACATCTAGTAGGTGAGGAGATGGTATTTGACCTCGAGTCTGTTAACCATTCCACAAGTGCTGTGTTCTCAGTCATGATGGTGGGAGGTGTTACCCAGAGCAGGCTGGGCATCATGCTGTGGATGGAATGCCCACCCACTCAGACCACTGCTGCTTCCTCCCTTTTTCCCCTTCAAACACCAAAGGACTTGTGTCTAAACAATCTGAGGACTTCCCTCCTTGTCCATGATCGTGTAGGATGACTTGCTCCAGAATGTGATTGGAAATATTCTCTTGGGATGAAGTGTTCCCAATAGCTCTAACTGGTCCATCAGGGAATAATGTGGGCACAAAGCCAACCTGTGAGTCATAGGAAATATATTTATCCTATGTTTTGAAATATGTGATGTCTTGGATGATAGTGATCCCCATCATAATGCTTGTCAATTCAAGATCATGTTAGGATTTGTCAACTTCCTTGAGCTCCTGACAAGACCCCTGGGATTCATTAATGAAGCTTTAATAACTGGCACTCTGCCCAAGCCACCAAGCACTTAGCAAACATTTGTTGAACTGATAAAAGAAAAATTAGTGGGAGGAAAGAGGAGCCTGCCTGGGATCAAAGTTCCCACTGGATAATCCTGGTAAGCTAAGCTATGCTGTGGTAGCTCCACTTTGGCACGAAACAGCAGGGCTTGCATTAGATTAGATAAGCACAACAGCATCCAAGGTTGGGTGCCTTTTGGGATGGGACTGCCATGCCTGTCAGGATCTGGAGAACAAGACTGAGACTCTAGAGAAGTAAAGTTCAGCGTTTGTTTCTTCTGCTTCCTCTACAGACTGTGGATTGAGGGCCATGACCGGGAGGATCGTGGGTGGGGCGTTGGCCCCTGAGAGCAAGTGGCCTTGGCAAGTTAGTCTCCACTACGGCACCACCCACATTTGCGGGGGCACGCTGATCGATGCCCAGTGGGTGCTCACTGCTGCCCACTGCTTCTTTGTGTAAGTGCCTAAGAGAATGGGTGACTTGATATTGGCCAGGGGTCAGGAGTCACCAGGAAGGGTTGAGAGCAAACTGACTTCTCCATGGAGGGGAACTTTGGTTGTGACCTGATCCCTACTGACCAGGAGATAGTGGGTGTGACCTGAACGATCACTCCAGGGTCGTGGTTTGCAGTTGATATTTCTTGCTGGGAATGTGAGTTCGGAGTACTTGTTCTGAGCTAAGTCCAAAGATAAGAAAATATAGGGAGAGTGATGAGTAATGAGTCCCTGGGTGGTGCAAATGGTTGGCTGCTAACAAAAGGTTGATGGTTGGTGTCCACCCAGAGATGTCACAGGAGAAAGGCCTGGCAATCTAATTCTGAATAACCAGGCATTGTACATCCTATGGAGCACATTTCAACTCTGACATACATGGAGTTACCAAGAGTAGGAATCAATGGCAACTGGTAAGGGAAAGTGAGGCAGGGGAGGAAGGACTTGGGAGCCTGCCTCTGAAGAAATTCTGTTGTTGCATCCTGTAATGGGAACTTATAGAAGAGAAGTATGAGCAATCAAGACTGCTGTGCTAGGACTATTGAAGAAGAAAAACAAAGTAGGAGGTCTGACACTACCGGATCTCAAAACCTGCTATACAGCCACAGTAGTCAAAACTGCCTGGTATTGGTTTAATGACAGATACATAGACCAATGGAATAGAATTGAGAAC